TGGTCATGTTTTACGCAGAAACTGCCTTCTAAAAGAAGCTATCGAAGGAAAGATAGATGGGCGGATAGAAGTGACAAGAAGACGAGGAAGAAGACGTAAGAAGATGCTGGATGACCTTGGGGACAGAAGAGGATACTGTCATTTGAAGGAGAAAGCTCTAGATCGCATTAAGTGGAGGAATTGTTTTGGAAGAGACTGTGGACCTGTCGTCTTGACAGATTACTGATGATGATGATGATGATCTTTCATTACCACATATTGACATCAGAAATTTTATATTACTATATTATTTAAGATTGTGGTCCTTTGTGTCTTAAGAGCCAAAGCAACTCTGACTATGGAGGCAGTATGTTTCTCAGAAACACAGATATCTATCTCCAATACTACAAAGTGTCACAACACAGAAGACTGTAATCTTCAGAATACAGGAATTTGCATGGCATGAGTCTGTCATAGTTCCATACATCTGTACCACCAGGATGCAGAAATTTGCTTACGAACTTACATTTAAGCCATGAAAGACTAATTTCACATTTCCTTCTTTCCGTCAGTTTAATTTCTTAAGAACCCAGGTGGGGCCAGATACTCAGTATGCACCACCCTGCATATGCCCATATTTTCATGTGCTCTCCTATATTCATAGGATACAAATGATTAAATGTTTGGGTAATGGACAGTATTGCCATTAAATCTTTTAACAAATTTAGAATAAGTTTTAAAGACTTATCATGAGCAGCCACTGTACATGCCAGATGCATGTTTGGAAAGTGTGAATTGTTTGAAAATTCACAGATCCATTGGAAATCAATAGAAGAATATTTCTAAAACCACTGCTCCATTTATGCGTCTTTCCCACAAAGATATTAGGCATTTGGAATATAGTTATGATTAGAAACTACAGAACTGTATGAACTGGGTATGGCAATGAAACTTGAGGTATCAGTACTCTTAGAGATATGAGATTTTCAAGGTAAACTGGGGTTGCAAAATACTCGTTTTTCAGAGAGCTATGAATTTTGTTTCATAGCATAGGCTTTTCTTTGCTTGTAAATACAAACTGAACCAATCCAACACATTTCTTTTAATTAAAATAAAAGAAAAATTCTTCAGTGTAGCTGGGTTAATATGGTAAATATGATGGTGTAGGGTAAAGATTAATTCTTCATTCCATTTTTAATATCATTCATTTTTAACATCCATACTAGACTAAGATTCATTACTAATAACTTACTTGGGAAGTCTGGCCTTCAATTTGATAAGACACATTGTTTGAACAGAGAGCTGCCGTTTGTCCACATAAGCTTATGTTAAAGAGATGGTAATACTGTGCACCTGAAGCTGTAAACAGACGGCTTCCTTTCACCAAATAAGGGCTGTAACATCAATGATTAAGACTATAGGTACACAAAGCTGTAATCACAAATATTATATTGAGCAATAAGTATTATTAAATGAGCACACTAGGTTTACATTGATAAAATGATCTTTGTAAGAATTGAGGCTTTCACGGCGGTGACTATGAAGAAAACAGTCTTCTGGGATTTGGCACCGTGTATATGTGGTGTACACGGTGCCAAATCCCAGAAGACTGCTTTCTTCAAAATGATCTTTGTTTGCAGCTATCCTGAAATTAAATAGTAAATGTATAGTATTTAGATTTGTGCACATCATTCACATGCTGCAGCACAAACTACAGAACTCTTTACACAGTCCACTAATTTCAATGTAAAGGTAACAGCACAAGAACACAGTGTAGTGACATTTCATTGTATCTGTGTGCCATGTGCAGCCCAATTTTGCTTTCTATTTGCTAGTTATCAGGTTACCATTTAGATGAGATCTGAGGTTTTCATTGTGGTAAAGATTTATGTCGTGGTCTTCTGCATTATAATACAATTAAAAAGTGTACATGACAAAACACTGAGGGCATGAAATTCATGATACTCTGAAAATTGAATTAGTATGGCCATTCTGGTTCATGTCCACCCAGCAGACTGCATGTGTCATAGACCAGAAGATCACAATAAGCATCTTTCAGATGGCTGAGTATACCATTAAAGCAGTAAATTAAGATTAGCAACACAGTATTTGTTCTACTTAATAAAATGTTATTATCTTGTATGAACAGTCATTTGGTTGTTAGTACATAGTAAACTCATATATAAGACATCATCACCAATTTCAGTGTCATCTCTTAAAAACATACTGTGCCCAGATATTGTACATAAAATAATGAGATGTAATCAGAAAATGTATGTATATTTAGCTGCTCTTACTTTGCCAATGACCTAAGGTCAAACTGAACCCCATCAAAGTTGAAAACACATTTAGTTGTGCATACAACTCCATCCAAGCTGGTGAGTCCAGGACCACAGGGCTGACAGGAATCTTCTCCGTATGCTAGTGAGTCTGATACAGTAGTGTCAGGGGGGCAGGGAGTGCAAGCGGTTGTGTTTGGATCAATGTATTGTCCAGGTGGACAGGGTATGCACCCATGCTCTTCTGCATCCTAAAGTAAGTACAATGTTCTATTACAAATTTGTTCCATATTTCTTTTCAAACAACACTTGTTTCTGGATACTCCTTTTCACATTATTTCTCAATGGAAAATGATCCTAAGCTGTTCACTGAACTACAGTGATGACAGAATTCAAAAGAAAGGAACTGGTAGCCTGTCAAAGTTCAGATATAAAGTGTAAACAAGTTTGTACATGACACAAAAACTTACTGGAATTTTTTGTTGAAATAGTAAATTTTATTTGCATGTAGGTTTTCAATATTTCTGAAGATTCAAAGAAAATGGAAAAAACTGAAAAAGCTGCAACAGTTTAAACCACTTTGAAAAGAACAATATTATTTTGCATAACGAGACTGAAATATTTAAGATATCCTGTTTGTCCATTAAGTATTGAAAGAATACCTAAAGAATCAGTTTTAGTGTGCCTTCGTCACTGAACTCAAGGTCATATCTATGGTTTTACTTAGATGTTAGAAGGATTTGAAAATTCAATAAAAACAAATTTAATTTTCATATTCTCAAATGTGTATGTGTGGGCGATTCATGGACAGCCAAAAGCTACTTGCACCTGCACAAAATCCATCTGACAATGACAATCCCGGCACGGAGTCCAGCCACCTGTTCACACATGCAGTTAGACATTAGCATGACACACTTGCTCGGTTGTGGGAACATGATGTCAGCATAGTTGGCTTTAGCATTTCAAGTTTACCTCTAAACAAGCTGAACCTTTCTTAGTTTCACATTATTTCGTGTGATTCTTTTGGTCATGCACAATCCAGATTTTTGGAAATCTCAGTACATTATAATTTTACCACTAAATTAAAATATAAAGGCAATTAATTATTATAAGCCAATAGGATTTCTTTTACACACGCACACACACACACACACACACACACAGATATATATGCAGAGGGCCCAAAAATGTATGAGTATATATACTTTAATACGACGTAGATGTTTTCTGCAAACATTTTCCAAGTTGAATGGAAATGTAATGTACAGTGTATAGTGTGACGTTCTTTCAAAGGGTGATGCTAGTCACATGAATGCCAGGGTCACCTTATCAAATGGCAGTGGAATAGCTGTCATTTGAGCAACTCAAGAACATTCTGAAGTGGTAATGAAAAAATAAAAAGTGTGGGAAATTAAAGGAAGAGTTACTGGTCCTATGTACCTCAACATGTTTCAGACATCCATTTTACCTGCCATTTATCAGCTCTACAGGAATGAGCCATTTTACTTTCAATGAGATGGTGCACCGTCACACCACCATCGAGACATCAGAAGCTACCTCTATGAAACCCAAACAGATCACTGAATAGGAAGAAAATGTAGTGTTGAGTATCCCCCATACTCAACCTCTAATTTTACTTTGAAAGTCCCTGGAGGATGGGGGTATATTGTAAAAAAACTACTGACACCAGAGATGTTACAGAAAGAAATTGGAATGTATCCTCTGCCTCTATCCCAATGGACACCTTGGCCATGGTTGCCCATGCACTACTCTGCAATCTTGTGTGTCTACAAGCTGATGGTGGGAACTCTGAACACTTGTTCTGGTTCAGCATGTGCTGCATCCATCCCTTTCTGTGTGTACCAAATTCGGATGATTAATATACTATTTCGGCAGACATTTTGTATGCTGAATTGTGTATATATTTTTGTATCCCGCTGCATATATATTAAATAAAAATTCTGCTAGCTTTGAGTATAACAAGAATTATAGCAGATCATATGTATTCTACTTCGACTGATGATCGTTTTAGTCCTGTGGGTAAAATATGAATTCTAGCCACATGTAGAAATGCTGAAGCCTTGTTAGTACTGCTTCATTGCAAGATATATTGCAAGAGTAAGTTTCATTTTATTATAACACATGTTATCCTGAGAACTGCTCCAACAAGGTTGCATTATGAACATTTGACTGGCCAAAAGGATTTCACTTCATTTCATCACCATCCAACCTTCAAATCTTATATAGTTTTGAACATGGTCTGCTCCTGTCTTTCCATTTATTTGTAACCTGTATATCTGAGTCTGAGCCTCATGTTACAACCAACGGTCAGTCGGTCAGTCTGTCTTCGAGTAAAACACCTATGTGGGGCTTACAAACATATTTTTATTACTGTCAGACAGTTATGGGTTTGTTGATGCAGGGTGCTCTCTCTGATGAGAGGACAGGTCTGTTGTTTACAGTTGCTGCTGGCTCTCGCCAGCACAGTCATTCTCGGTTTCAAGTCTTATAGGACTTGTGACCATATTTTACTGTCTCAGATTTGACACTTCCCTTTTCATTGTCTCCTATGACTCATAAGGCTACGGTGGAGGTATTCGCCCCCCATCTCCACACTGGAATGAATGAATAAATTATAACCTGCACATATAACTGCTAAAACAGTTTATTCTCAATGGCATGTTTTCACATGGAGACAAGCTGCTGTCTGCAAGGAAGCTCTAGAATTACTGAGTAAGTGAATGATTAACATCAACTTTCTCAAAATGATCCTTTCATATGTGGGATTTAAATGGGTAAAGAAGGTGTGGAGCACTTCAAATACTCTTTCAATTACAGAAAGTAAACTTCACAGCAAAAATTAATCTCATACACACAGTCAGTTCATGTGACCATGCTGCCACTGACAGCCAAGGGGAGACTTGTACTGCTAACAAGTAAAAATGTAAAGATGTGTAGCACAGTTGTCAGTCTTTGGCAAGAAAATTTTTGTAACAGCAAGTGAGTGGAAATTTTGAAATATATTTTGTACATGACATTTAAGGGTCAATATTCATACCAGGAACAAAATTAATAATCAAAATAGAGTATTAGGTGGCTGGAAAATAGGTGACACTTGTTTCCAAGCACAAGTAATATGATTTTCAGTAACTGTTATGTGAAAAATACTATTTGGTATGTTATTATACTTCTTGTGTTCATCATTTTAAAATGTTAAACAAGATTTCTTCTTATCCCATAAGAATAATGGGAGCAGGTTAAATATGTTAGTATGTATGTACCAGATTACATTATTTCACTTTCCAGAAGACCATAATCTTATTACATATGTTCCACATGATTTATTATAAAAATAAGGAAGAATTAAATGGTGCAGAATATATGAGGCAGATGATTTCTAATCATTGAAGATGTGGTTCTTCTACTGTTCTAGAATTTGCTCATGATTTTATGCTTCTAAGTTTTAAGTATGTACTCACCAGATGACATGGTAAACACATGGCTGCTCCTCCATCAATTGTATTTGTTACATTGATTGAAAAGATCCTTGCAACATCATCCCCAACTTTAATGTTGTGATTGCTCTGACCAAGCTGCAATTTCTGAAATGCCCAGCTGAAGGTGTACGAGTCATTCAGCATTACTGAATGGAAGAACTCTTGCCTTGACTGGGAGTCTGTCCACCTCTGTATTAACGTCACTCCTTTGGAATCAGATCCCTACATTTGTAAAAGGGAACAAGGCAAATGATGTATATATTCAGGTTCACACTGGAAAACATTTATTTAAAACTATACATAAATCAGTGAACACAGTTGGTAAGGCACTTTAAATATCCTGAAGTTGATGTTATGAGGATGAAGAAATATGCAAATAATAATAGAGTAGACAGGAAGTGAGGACAGCAGAACCTAAGTGTAGGAGGGACCATAAGCCCTCCTTAAAATATGCAGTGCAGGGCATGCCTTCCCTAGAAACTTAAGTCAGTTATGCACAAAAGTAAAATCATAAACGTAATCAAAATTTTGTCTTATTCTATAGTCATAGTTCTATTCCCTATCTATTTGCCTCTTTCTGTGTCTATCTGTGTCTCCACCCATCTCTAGCTAGCTATACTAGGAATGAAATGAAATAAAATTGAACAGAGTTACATATGGCATGTGTGTTGGTAAACAGTCCATATGAGGGTGACTGTTGCCACCTGATAAGAAATCAGATCAGCTAGACTGGTATGTTGGTGTACATACTGCGAAAATGGTGGTGGTTTTTGGTGCAATTCAAATGTTTGCACCCTCTCCTAGTCATATGCCCTTTAATGGTTTAACATGAAGCTTGGTCAGGGGTGCTACAGGGAGAAAAAAAAGTTACAAGAAAGAAGGGTTGAATGGAAGTTCTTACTAATAGCCTACTGCAAAACACACATTTTCCATACAAAATTTTATGAGCTCAGAGGTTTCCTTGGTGTGTTAGGCTGAAAATTTGTACAAGCAGCATTACCTGCAACTAAATGGAGATGCTAGTAAAATCTGGAATTAATTTGTTCTGCATCTCTTCTGGTAACCAGAAAATTTTATGATAGCCGCAGGATATTTTACATGATTCCCTACTGCCTCCAATTCTTAATGCTTTTAAAAAGGATAACCACAATTCAAGGATATGTAATTGTTCTACAAGCACTTTTCAACTGTCCCTAAATTTCTTCCCTTAAATTCTAATTTTCTAACACAGCCCTTACATTTCTGTGGAGGTTATTCCTCTCTGTTGAACTGGAAGTAATGCTTATAGTGTTATATGTGACATTCAGTGACATGAGATTCATTAATTGTCCTAGAAATTGCATATTTTTCACACTTTTCCACTTCTGTTTTTGTTTCATTTCTGAGTCTTTTTGACATACTGAATGGTTTGCTTTCAGTAACATTGTATTCTTTCTTTTAAAATCTGTTGCCCAACACTGCAAGAAATTCCTGTTGCTTCAACAACTCTGTCTTCCACTTAATTTAGAAGGAGAATTCTCAAGTGTGCCTCCTGCTTCACAAACGTATACACGTGGCAAATTATGTCTCTGGGCTGGTCCTGCATTATTTCATTTTGTCTCATATGTTTAATCCTCCTGCCATCACTTTGTGAATGCAACTGTCTGCAGGACGTAACAACATATGATGGACATCCAAAGCTACCAGGAACTTGACTCTCATCAGTCTTCTAAAATTCTGATTTTTATTTTAATACTGTTGCTTCAATTCCCAGAATCTCACGAATACTACAACTCTAGACTTTCTCGAATATTCTAAAATCCTACAGAATAAGAACTGATGAATTTTTCATGCTAGAATTTCACCTGTGAATACCTCTGAGCTCAGCATGCCAAGTATGTTCCCAACTGTGAAGACCGTAGAGTTCTGTCTTGTGGGATATGTCGCATGGTGACAGTCAACCACTGTTTCAGAGGAACATGTCATCATTTTCATGCTTGCTGCCCACTTCCTGATAATTTCATGCTTGGCTAATTCTTTAACCCTGAACACGGAGAAAATATGTTCCTCCAAAACATCAGTTGATTTCCACTGGACTATGCAGCATCATATCCCAGAAGACATAAATCTCCATAGCCACCACTGCACTGTGAGAGGCTCAAATCTGAAAACTGAACTTCATTGGAATCCCTGCAGCAAAGTCCATCTGAATAACTTATAATATTGTGTAATTACACGTGACACTTAATCCAATATTATGTTCTATTGGAATATTATTTGAAGAATGCAAACTGTCATTGATCATCAAGAAAAAGAAGAATACAAGAAGAAATGTTTTCACTGTGAGGAAAATTGTGAGATTGGCCAGACCTACTACTGACAGTGATAGTATCAGCAATTCTGAAAAGTTCACTGAGCACTCAGTGGGGGAGGCAACACCATTACCAATACTGTGAATTTGTCAGTCAAAATTTCAGCGACTTCTCAATTACTGGTTGAAGGGAAGTTAAGAAAATACTTTCCTTAAATACCTAGGTGATAGAGTGACAGAATACACAAGATGAATCAGAGCTGCGTTCTGTTAAAATGTTCGGTGGTTGTGGTGATGGTGGTGGCGGTGGTGGTGGTGATGGTGGTGGTGGTGGTGGCGGTGGTGGTGATGGCGGTGGTGGTGGTGGTGGTGGTGGTGGTGGCAGCATCGGTGGTGGCAATGGGGGGCTATAATAATGGAATTAGAATTGTATTTACAGAAGCTGCATGCCGTAAGAACATGACATTAGACAGGCACAAATATATGTTTGTGCACATAAATTTCCAAATGATTTGAAATATAATTTAAAGCCAAGTTTATTTCCTTTTTTATTGAGATAAGCTGGTATCGTAAAGTTGCTGGACTAGGTCAAAAAAGGAATGTTGGCTTAACTTACTCAATTTTGGCTGTCATCTCCTTCAAAATAGTCTCCTTGGAATGTATACAGCAATCATATCATTTTCTTCCCCCCCACGCTTCAAAAGCATCATGGAAGTCATTTTCCTTAATGCTGTCAAGTACCTCTTGCAATTCCCTTCGGATGTCGAACACTGTTTTAAAAATGTCATCCATTCAGTTTCATTTTCAATTGTAAAAACAAAGCGAAATCTCATCTTCTGTCACTGAGGCAGTTACAACAATAACACTACAGACACTGTACACTTTTTTTTATGAATATGGTGTTGTACCACCTTTTGGCTTCAGTACCGCTGCAATCCTTCTTGGAATGGAGTCATGCAAGTTTGGAACAGTCCCTAGCAGAATTTTATAGCATTCTTCTTGACATACATCTTCAAGCTGCTTTAGTGATGTTGGAGGTGGACCTGTTCCTCATTCAAGTCTCCAAAACTGACCACAGAGGTTCAGTGATGTTCAAATGTGGTGATTGTGCTGGCCAGGGAGAGTGCTGAAGTTCATCTTCATGCTCTTAAAACCATGACTGAACAGTTGTAACTGTGTTAATGGGGGAACTACCATTTGGAAAACTACATCGTTCTTCGGAAATGTTTGGATCAGGGGATGCACCAGATTACCCAAACCCACGACGTACACCCTTCCAGTAATTCGGCCATGAAGGGTAACACTAGGGCCAACAAAATACTGTACCACGATACTACGGCCCAAACCATCACAGAATCTTCCCCATGTTTCACTGTTGAAACCAGGCATTCCGGATTGCAGGCTCCCTTGGGTGTTCTCCAAACGTAAACTCTTCCAGGTGCAGGGAGCAGCATGCAGGACAACCCATCTGACCATATCATGCATGCGTTTCCAGTTGTCTAATGTCCAGGTTTTATTGTCCAGACACCATCGTTTAGACATCTGAGCATTACTTTCGGTAATCAGAGGTTTAGCAATTGTGGCTCTACTGTGGATGTTGGATTTGTGAAGCTCACGTCGGACAGTTTTTGTGGTGACAGTCTTCAAGATGAATATTCAGTTGTGCAGTCACCTGTGATGCAGTAGTTCTGTGATTTTTGAAAGCAATCCTTCTGATTGTATGACAATCTCTTTTTATCTATGTTGATTTTCGTCCACTGCTTCTCTGTGCTGATGTTGACTTCCCATGATTCGCGTATGCCGACATATCATTAGAAGACGTTGCTCTCAATATACCTAATAATGTCACAGTTTCTTCCACAGATGCTCCAGCTGAATGTGCATCAAAATCGGACAAGTCTCACATTTTCCAATTCTTTCACATGGGTTGTCACTCAACACAATCACCAATACACTGACATGAGCACTATGGAATGTAAACAAACGGAAGAAAATCATTCAGCGTTGCCAACTGAAAGTCTTTTAATGCAGGCAACATAAATTCTGTTCCTCAGTTTCTTAGTGGTTCCAATGTTTTTTTACTACAGATGGGGTTTGGATTGATAATTGGATTTACTGAAGACCTACAGATTGAAACTACAGTAAAACTTGGTTATAGCAACATCGGTTTCTGCGACACCTTGTCTATTGCGTCAAATATTCAATGGTACGAACTAATTCCTCATAAAGCAACTGTTTTTATACCTTGCTTAGTACGACATGCACAAATGCATCAACCTCGTATGTAACATCATTTTCATTCCTGAATTTCTCTGATATGGACATTGAACGTAATTTAGAAAGTGTGTATTGGGCAAGTAACAGGAAACAGATGAAGATAACTGATTACTGTACTCGTATCTAGGTACAGTAAGGCACAACAATTGATGTAATCTACTGTAATTTGGTGAGTAGGCCTACCTTTAATATACAGTATTAGTGCGGTGTGTATTGTCAGTGAAAAGCGCTGTAATATGTCTTTGATATTACACATTTGGGCAATTCCACGTTAATGTTACGTTAGTCTGTACTTAACTACGTATTTCACTAAAAAATGCAACATTTTAACTCGGTTTTTGGTAGATTTTTATGTGACTAACATAAGGCTACTGTGGAAGCGCCCATTTCGGTTACGACATTCATTTATAACGACACTATTTTTAGGTCCCTTTGATGACGTTATAACCAAGTTCTACTGTACAAGTAAATGTAGCACCATCGCTAATTCACACACTCTGCAGTTCACTAGAGCATGTTCTTTGCCTTCTCAGTTTGCCGTGCTTCAGCAGTCATCTGGCAATGGTTCCAAAGCCACAAATCCTTTAACTTCTGTGCTGACATCCTTATTGACCAGCAACTGTCACACAACTAACTAAACATTATACTTGTCCTGCTTATAACACCTCAGCATGGACTGCACAAGAACACCGCTTCTCAGTTAGTCTATTGTTGCTTGTTGGGAATGGCTGTTGTTTACAGATTCACCATTTAGCAACGGGTCTATATGCTACAATATATATATATATATAGATATGCATAACTCAACTTGACAAAAACAATTAAATTTCAGATTCAAAATATATTTGGAAGCATTTGGAAATATTCAAGAAGGAAAGACTTTATTATACTCAATTATATTTGCATAATATTTAACTTAACCCTTATAACTGAAGTGCAAAGAATGTATGGTAAAATTTACACATACATTTAATTATAAGTGATATTCACTTTATAAAAAGATCCTCATTCCTGTCTTCTTTTTCATATGGAAATGAAAACCAATGCAAAATTACCTCCACTTCCTGATCCATACCATAATTTACTGTAATGTTGTTGTGCTTTTCTTTTGTATAAAAGTAGAACAATATTGAGCAGAGCAGCAGATTCACACAACTTGTACATCTGATGATGGCCAATCAGGCCATAACATGCAGTGATATACAATTGGGAGAAGCTGACCGGTGAATATTAACCAAAGTTGTACACTGACAGAAAGAAGTGGAACACAAAGGCAGATCTACTCAGTGTAACAAGATGCTGCAATATAAATTAGCATCTACAGTATTTAACAGAGTCAAGGTGATTGATATCATGTTAAACATTTACTCTCTTACAATTCGGTGATAAGAAATTTAGGAGACTGCCATGCTGACCACTTATAAGATCATAAAATGTCACTGAATTACTTTAATCTTAATATCATAAACTTCTAAGTAACATACCTGCATGAATAAGAGTTCACATTTACTCTCACAATCCAGCTCAAAGCTGAAGGATATTTGTCCAACACCTAACCGACGGCCACCACTGACACCTCCTTTGCTACGAAATCCAGCAACATTAAGTGAGAGTAAGAGGTATGCTCCAGCTGTATGGTGATTTCCTGACCGAATGTATGACCCTGCACACTGCCAACCCATGTCACTACTGCTGCAGCTCGAGCCTGCAACAATTGTCACAACCAGTGCCACTGCACTCTTACTTTGCACACTTATCTGGCTCCTGGAGTTCAGAATTTAAGGAGGATGGCTGCATTTTCTATACTGACTTTTCCATAAAATACGAATTAATTACAATTACAATTAAAATAAAACGAATTTGTTACACCTCAACATGTTGTAGACACTTTCGTTTAAAAAGCATGCAAAAAATCAAGAAACAAAGGTAACACAAAAATATTTCACTGATACTGAACAACACACATGAATTTTTCGTTACAGCATTGTTAAGACTGTGGTATTCCACGCTGTGACACGATGAAGAACTGTAGAAACAGAATGAAAGCAATTAATTAAAAAAAAAAAATAAAACCACCTGTGTAGTACTAAAATTAAAGTGCAGGTTGTTTGTAGAAAATGTCCCTGTTAATTTCTGAGAGGTGTTTGTGATTTCTGTATTGAGTCTACAAAAACAGGTGCTTTTAAACTATTCTGAGAAGTTGGAAAGCACTACTGGGAACGGTATACAGTACCAACATGCATAAAAGTAAAGCTGTCCCTGTAACAGGCTGTGAAGGCCCATGGGCTTGTGAGACGTTGAGGGTCCCACATTATCTAGACCAAGGGTCTCCAAACTACGGCCCACGATGTGATTTTATCAGCCCATGAAAGATTTGTGCAGAAATGCGCCAATTGAACTAATTTTCCATTGAGTAGTGGTAAATGTGATTCCGAGCTTATTGACCTGACACATTATACTGCAGTTCGATGGCTTAGCTGTGGAAATGTTCTTTCACGCTTCTTTCATCTCAGGAATGAAACTAATGTGGCCCGCGGTTCGAAAAGTTTGGAGACCCCTGATCTAGACAACCGGCTCAGAGATGGCGGTAAGGTTGTCAGCCTTACACGCTCTCCGTGCTTTACTCCCCAGGAAAATTATTTAACCAAATATAATAATATAATAACCAAAAGCATTACTACAGATAATCATAATATGGAGGTCATTAATATGAAAGATGCTTGTAAGTAAATTATTAAGTAGTCGCATTTCAAAAAGGACTCAGCTATGTGGAGCTAGTTGCACATTAATACCCCCATTCTGAAATGGAAATTATATCTATTATTTTACATGCTAAAGAACTGTAGCATAAATTTATATATGAAGTTAAATCATCTCTGAGTCCATATCATCCTATGAGGATGGTAATGAATTTTAGAACGTTTTAGAATATTTCTAGGAAAGAAAATTGAAATTTTATATCAAATTTAATAATGTTATTCCACCTATAGTCGGCAACAAATATGGTCCTGCTCTTCCATTATTAAGTTCATCTTAATGAACACATTCCTTCATTCACAAATGACCCCATCCATGGACAAAATCAGCTGTCATATCAGAAATTCTAAAAGTGTGCACATGTATGCAGTTTGTAGGAAAATCAAACATTCACAGAACAAAATCTGCTATAATATAACCATTTACATTTGACTTCCAATTTTTTAGTTCTTCATTCCTTAAATCCTTGAAATTCAAAATATATATTTTACAACTTCAACCAGAAACACGATTTAATCTTGGTATCAAGTTCAGGTTTTTATTTATTTCCACACAATAATTAACTTTTATAAGATCTGAGATTCTCATATCGGTGATTATCAAGACTATTTGTCTTCTGCATTGCCAAAGACCATAATATTAATAACTTTTATAAATCTGCATTCCACATAATTAACATAAAATATAGAATAAATCCATGTTTGTTTTTACTCACTATATATACACACACACACACACATGCACTCATATGTGTATGCATGAAATTTGTAAACATCAACATAGGCTGCAAAAATTATTGCAGAAAACAGCAAAAAATGTTGTTAAAAAAAAATCCATGATTTTAGTCCGCAAGCAAACTGTACTGACCGAGTAACTGCTGCTTGTCGGCGAAGTTAGTGCCAACTTTAGCGGATAGAGGGTGTAATGTGGTCAGTGCAACGAATCTCCACAGCCGTTAATTTCAGGTTTCTAGATCAGAGCCGCTACTTCCTTGAAATAGCTCCTCAATTATCCTCACAAGGCTGAGTGGACCCCGTTCCAGACCCACTACTTTCTCAGAAAAAATCTGGTAGCACTGGGGAATATGAACCCGTGACCCCTGGATCTGTAGCCAGGAACTCTAACCACCAGACCACAGAGGCGGTCAAAAGTTTTGTTAAACACTATAAAATTTAAACTTTAAACTTTTAATTTAAACTTTTGAAATAGTGGTAGCTTGAGCTCGCCAGCGCGCGTTTAAATGCCCATTGTTGCTCTGTGTTTAAATATCCGTTCCTATTAGGGCGCTTGCATTGTATTTGAAAATGCTGTATCTAATACAATTTTTATGATGAATGAATGGAATTAACTTTGTTTTCATCAGCAAAGAACAGAGTGTTGCATATTATAACATAAGATTTGAAAATATGTAGACAAGAAGTTATAAACTACTTCTATTTTTTTCTTGTAATTATGATGCATACTGTAAAAATAGTTTCCAACTTCTTCACATATTCTTCCTATTAGGGCGCTTGCATTGTATTTGAAAATGCTGTATCTAATACAATTTTTATGATGAATGAATGGAATTAACTTTGTTTTCATCAGCAAAGAACAGAGTGTTGCATATTATAACATAAGATTTGAAAATATGTAGACAAGAAGTTATAAACTACTTCTATTTTTTTCTTGTAATTATGATGCATACTGTAAAAATAGTTTCCAACTTCTTCACATAGTAGTTCTGCGGTATAAAATCACTCCTGCTTATAACACTTGAAACATTTTCACATTCTCTGGTGCCATAAACCAGCTGGAAGCAATAAAGTGATTTGGTTCACTGCTGGAAAGTTTCAAGTCTTTATTACGCCCTTCAGATATCCCAGTCTTTTGACTAAAGGACAGAAAAGTGGAAACATGGCCTTTCTAGAAAGGCTACAGGGTATAAGCAATGTCTCCTAATTCAGTGCCAAGCACTGCTATTGCAGCTGCAAGAGAATACTGCCCTTTCTATGGTTGCAACCAAACACTTGTATCGCAGCTGAGATACAGAGTGCATTAAGTTTTCTGTGAGATCACAATGAACTTGAATATTATAGTTTAATTTTGTCATACAATGGCAATGAAACGTTATTTGGAAGATGATGAAGTTGATAGGCACTTGAAGTGCAAGATATGTGATGTGGGACTGTACTTTCTAGAGTGCTTCAAGGAGTATTACACAAAGGCAGGATTCAGTTATATGACACGGGGGTTGAAGCCTGTATATACGGCTAGCAGATAACAACAAAAAAGTATGTATATTGAATTTCACTATATTTAAAAATAAATATTTAGGATTGTGCATACACTTCTACTAGCGGACTGTGCATGTGCTTCCGTTAGCGGAGTGTGCACGTGCTTCCGCTAGCTGAGTGTGCACATGCTTCCGCTAGTGGACTGTGCATGTGCTTCCGTTAGCGGAGTGTGCACGTGCTTCCGCTAGCTGAGTGTGCACATGCTTCCGCTAGCGGGGTTCAAATGCCCAACTGCCCAAATTGGAGTACTTTGGCCACGATGACCATACGGACCATACTCATCCCTGGACAGATTGGGGCACTTCAGACATTAAAGGTTAATATAGAATACAAATGCCGTGTGATTTTCAAATTTTGGTTTCTTTTTATACATGAAAAACTCTGATCTAAATTTTTACAAACTTGTACCAAGAAACATAAGTACTTCTTCAGCTTTATGTACACTTCCTACTACATATATTAGTAAAATTTCATTTAATGACGTTGTATTATGCAGGAATGTGAATAGGAAACAACATATATCTTGTATACGCATACCTGAGACTTACTTTATGGGACATTCATTGTAACAGCTTATTTTCAGGAAGTGGAGTGATTTTTCTTTAAAGCAAGAATTTGACTTTACCATATTTTGTATCAGCATTTTCAAGCATATAATAGATTAAGGATAGAATGTGAAATCAAACAGACTTCTGCATACCTGGTACGCAACATTTCATAGCATGGTAAGAAAACATACATTCCAAAATCAAAACATCTTCAACAGATACAAAGATTTTTAAACAATGCCTCAAAAAATGTGGTTCATGAATTACCAGGCCTAAAACTACACACAACATCGATACTTCTGACCTCCTTAATGGTAATGATAATAGGACAATGACATAGAAATAGGCTACAGGCTTCAAAGATGAAATTTTTGTGACAAACAGCTAGATACATTCTTTTCAACCATAAAAGAAATGAAGACTTATAAGATCTAAAAGGAGACCTCTTGAAAAGGAAACTTTATAAACATAGAAATCATTGTCTTTATATTTCCACTGACTGAAAGGCCATAGTTTGCCAGAAGAACATTTTAAAATACCACTAACAGGAAAACGACGACGTGGATGGCTAAATGATCTGAATGCTGAGATAGAACTGGCCAACCTTGTTACCTAACATCATTACTGATGATAATGGTGTAAAATTTAAAAATGACTTAAAAATTATTTATAATGTGCCTCAATTTTGAACCACAAATCCAGCCCAATTACTCTCATCTGCACATATAAAGTTACGGTCTTACTGTATTAGACGACTACATACATTTTCTTACCATCAATTTCCATACATGCAGCACTCATCATCTTCAGCATTTCTGTCCAATGTAGAATTTGATAACCATAATTTGGAGTTGTGTTAGGTGGACATCGTTTACAACCAGTTCGTCCATCTGAATACATATTACTGGGACAAAATTCGCAAGTAGAGCCGTTATGATAATCCATTCCTGGATTGCATGGTGGACATTCATGTTTCTCACTGGCTGGAGGTAAGCGCACTGCATCAGGAACATCATCACGACAAGTCTTTGGCTGAAGCCATTTATAAACTTCTTGTGTCTGTAAAATGTAAGATCTTTAGACTGTGGTAAGAAAAATATTGTCTTCATTAACAGGAAAATGACACTTTATTACATACCGGCAAAGTTTCTTTTAGTTTAAGAGTGTGCTGCAGAGAATACTTACAGTTCTTAAGCACAGAAATTGATTATGTTTTGACAAAAATATTCTCCTCTTCAGCTCAGAATCTAGTATGGTATTTATGAATTAGATTATAACTGACTAATAACAAATGCATTTTATATATTTTCAGTTTTATTTCATGTATTTACAATGCCAGGGATTTTATATTCAGAGAGAAAGGGAATTTCAAAACTATCACAGTGGCTATTAGCTTCTCAAGGATTCTTCTCCATGAGGTTAGTTCCTTAGTTAGGCTAGTTGTATGCAATTATTCTGTACCACATGTTTTTAAGTTTCCAATCACATGATTATTCAATAGTTTGTGTGTGACTCTCTGTGAGCCATTTTGTTCACGGGAAAGTATGATGCTTGCAGCTGTGGCCTAAACCAAATGCCTAGAAGAAAGATGTGAGGAATGCAACCGGTCAACCCCAGCAAGTATTAGGAACACATACATTGCTGCTGAAGCTCATATAAAACTGTCTGTCTATTTATGCACCTGTATAAGTGATGTGTGAGAGTTAAGAGGTACATATGGGACTCTTAGTGTCCAAGTCTCTCTCTGACCCAAGGTAGGGGGTCTGTATTTATACTGACAGGAGTAAGTTTTTCAGTTGCAGGTCCCAGGGGACCACAGCCGCAATATTCTTGTCAACATAAAATAAGCCTCTTGCTGTTAAACCGATGTTACGTGGGTCCCTTGTCACCACGGCATGGTGAGTCCTCAGATTATGGACGGAGGAGACGCCCTTCAGTTTTGGAGGGAAGTTGCGAATATACTGAATAAGCAGTCGCAGACAGCCGACAAAGGATGGTCCTCCAGCTTGGGGGTAACAACTTCTCACCATAAAAAATAATTATGTTACGAAAATGAACACAAAGCCTCGGACCTGGACGGATTCCTTGAATAAACGACCTAACCTATGAGATATGGGTATGAGATTTGTCATTTGGAATGTTCGAAGCTTCTATAGGGCAGGTTTGCTCAGGGCAGTGGCAGAAGAAATCTTAAAATATAAGTCAGAGTTAGCGGGGGTACAAGAGGTCAGATGGGATGGAGGTGGCATCACACCAGCAGGCAACTATACATTTTTTTATGGAAAGGGGAATGAAAATCATGGATTAGGTACAGGTTTTTCATACATAAGAGAATCATATCAGCAGTTAAGAGGGTAGAGTTCGTTAGTGATAGGATATCATATATAATACTAAAAGGTCTCTGATGTGATATCATTGTTATGAATGTTCATGCCCCAACAGAAGATAAAATTGATGACATAAAGGACAAGTTCTGTGAAGAAGTAGAACATGTATTTGATAAATTCACAAAGTACCCTATGAAAATTTTGCTAGGAGATTTCAATGCCAAACTAGGGAGGGAAGACATTTTCAAACCAATGATTGGGAATGAGAGTTTGCATGAAATTAGTAATGATAATGGAGTTAGAGTTGTAAACTTTGCCACATCAAAAAATCTTACTGTCAAAAGTATGTACAATGTTCCCACATCGTAACATCCATAAATTTACTTGGACAACTCCTGATGGGAAGATACACATTCAAATAGACCATATTTTGATAGATAGGAGACGGCACTCAGGTATACTTGATGTCCGATCATTCAGGGCAGCAAATTGTGATACTGACCACTACCTGGTGGTGGCAAAGGTTAGGGAAAGACTGGCAGTGAGCAAACAAACAACACACAGAGTTCATATGGAGAGGTTCAATCTCAAGAAATTAAATGAGGTAGAGGGTAAAGAACAGTATCATGTTGAAATCTCAAATAGGTTTGCGGCTTTGGAAAATTTGGACACTGAGGTGGATGTTAATAAAGCTCGGGAAACTACTAGAGAGAATATAAAAATGTCTGCCAAAGAAAGTCTAGGTTATTATGAACCGAAGAAGCATAAGCCATGGTTCGATGAAGGATGCCCAAAATTATTAGATCAAAGAAAGCAGGCCAAATTGCAATGATTATAGGATCCAAGAAAAATAAATGGGAATAATCTGAACAATACAAGACATGAAACCAGCAGGCATTTCACGAACAAAAAGAGGGAATATCTGAAAGACAAAATTGATGAGCTTGCAATGAACAGTAAGAACACGAATATTAGAGACCTGTATAGAGGAATAAATGACTTTAAGAGAGGTTACCAGCCTAACAGTAACTTAGTGAAGGATGAGAATGGTGACCTGCTTGCAGATTCCCACAACTTTTTGAATAGGTGGAGGAACTACTTCTCTCGGTTACTGAATGTACATAGGGTCAGTGATGTTAGACAGACAGAAATCCATATGGCTGAGCCGTTAGTACCCGATCCTAGTCCGTTTGAGGTTGAAAGTGTTATTGCAAAATTGAAATGGTATAAATCGCCAGGTAGTGATCAAATTCCGGCAGAACTTATTCAAGCGGGAGGTAAAATTTTACATTCTAAGATCCGCAATCTAATTACTTCTATTTGGCATAAGGAAAAATTGCCTGATCAGTGGAAGAAGTCTATTATTGTACCAGTTCACAAGAAGGGTGATAATACTGACTGTAATAATTATCGTGAGATATCTTTTCTATCAACTTCATACTACATTTTATCCAATATTCTTCTCTCAAAGTTAAGTCCATACATGGATGAATTTATTGGGGATCATCAGTGTGGGTTTCAACGTAACAGATCAACTACTGACCAAATCTTTTGCATTCGTCGGACACTGGAGAAAAAATGGGAGTACAAGGAGACAGTACATCAGCTGTTCATAGACTTCAAGAAAGCCTATGATTATTCATTTAGGAGGTTAGTAATGTACAATATTCTGAAAGAGTTTGGGGTAGACATGAAACTAGTTAGGCCAATTAAAATGTGTTTAAATGAAATGTACAGTAAAGTCCATATAGGTAAACATTTGTCTGATAAATTTCCTATCCAGAATGGTCTAAAACAAGGAGATGCTTTATTGCCATTCCTTTTCAACTTTGCTTTAGAATATACCATTAGGAAGGTCCAGGGAAACCAGTTGGGACTGAAATTAAACGGGACACATCAGCTGTTGGCCTATGCCGATGATATGAATCTACTGGGTGATAATGTAGATGCCATAAAGAAAAACACACAAACTTTAATTGATGCAAGTGAAGAGGTTGGTCTAGAAGTAAACACAGAGAAAACTAAGTATATGTTGCTGTCTCATCATCAAAATGCAGGGCAAAATCATGATGTAAAGATAGGGAACAGATGTTTTGAAAATGTGGAACAGTTCAGATATTTGGGAATGATGATAACAGATCAAAACTTGATTCAAGAAGAAATTAAGAGGAGACTGAACTCAGATAATGCTTGCTATCATTCAGTGCAGAACCTTTTGTCTTCTCGTCTGCTGTCCAAAACCATAAAAATTAGAATATACAAAACTATAATTTTGCCTATGGTTCTGTATGAGTGTGAAACTTGGTCTCTGACATTAAGGGAGGAACATAGACTGAGAGTGTTTGAGAACAGAGTGTTGAGGAGAATATTTGGACAGAGAGATGAAGTGACAGGAGGTTGGAGAAACCTGCATAATGAGGAGCTGCATAATTTGTACTCTTCAGTGATCAAGTCAAGGAGGATGAGGTTGGCAGGTCATGTAGCACAAATGGGGGCGACGAGGAATGCATATAGGATACTGATAGGAAAGCCAGAAGGAAAGAGACCACAGGGAAGGCCAAGGCATAGGCGGGTAAATGGATCGTAGAGAGATAGGATGGGATGGGATGGGATGGTATGGTTTGGATTGATATGGCTCAGGATAGGGATCAGTGGAGAGCTCTTTTGAACGCAGTAATGAACCTTTGGGTTCCATAAAAATGCTGGGAAATTCCTGAGTAGCTGCAGAATTTGTGCCTCCTCCAGAAGGACTCAGCTCCGTTAGTAAGTAAGTAATAGCTGTTAAACAAAGTGGGGTACTATGGAACATGAAAGCATTCTCTATTAAAATGTGAACACTTAAATAAGAAAAAAGTTTTCCTTTCATTCCTTACTTAGAGGTATTGGTGGGAGGGGGTAAATTTTACTCAATTGTGGCCCCACCTGTTCAGAGGGTTATGAGCTGCCGCTGATTAATGTCATCCTATAATGTGATGCTATAACTTATGCAGTTAGAAAGCATCATTAAATATGTAGAGAATTAATCAATCTTTGTTGTTGAAGTTTTCTCTGAAGACGTTCTAATTTCATAGTATATATTTGATTTACTCACTCACCCCTCAGACAGAAAAATGTTCTCTCACACTGCCAGGTATTCATGCATATGCAAGCTGAAATACTGTACTATACATAAGACACAGGTTTTAACCATGGCAAAGATATCAAGAACTTTTCTCTTCACCATTACATCCGAAGTATTTCCAAACTTATACAGTCACAAGACTTTAATACCATCAATAGTTACGCAGCAGGATAATTATGAATAAGGAATTGGGTAGGTTCAAACACAAGCAGGCATGTACAATTTTAAGTTGCTGTCCCAACATTTGTCAAAATGGGAAGACTATGAAAAGCAATAGTCAGAACTGCCAGCTTACAGGCTGAGGTTTGAACCCAGAACCTTCTCAGAATTAACTGTCTTTCAGCATCCTGTTGCAATTGTTTAACTTAACGTTCATGTATTTATCATCCGTCAATATTGCAACACTTGTTTATTTACCACTCAATCTTAATTTCAGTTTAACATTATACACTTTGACGCTACATGTTTCGGCCCCAAACGGCCATCTTCAGGTGTCTTGGTATGTTACAAATAGTTTATTGAATTATGTTAAACTGCTACACTGTGATAGTCCATGTTAAAATCACAGGATGTATTCTCTTTTCAAGGTAAAACCAGATGAAATCCTTTAAAATTTCTATTATACCCACATTATTTTGGTGCATGTTTTTTTATTTCACCTCATACAGGGTGTCGTCCATTGTTCATAAATGTAGGCCTGTCCCAGGTGTTTTGTTCTGGCAGCTTGCCCCTCATGTTCATAGCCTACTTTTCAGTTATGTCTGCAATATGCCCCTGGTTTGCGTGTTTCCTCCACAGTGTGTGGTGTTGTCTTTACTAGTGGACTGTAAAGTAGGCTACGAACGTGAGGGGCAAGCTGCCAAAACAAAACACCCTGGACTGACATACATTTATGAACAATGGACGACACCCCATGTGAGGTGAAATTAAAAAAATGCACCAAACTAACGTGGGTATAATAGAAATTTTAAAGGCTTTCTTCTGGTTTTACCTTGAAAAGAGAACTACAGCATGTGATTTTAACATGGACTAACACAGTGTAGCAGTTAACATAATTCAATAAACTATTTGTAACATATCAAGACACTTGAAGATGGCCGTTTGGGGCCGAAACATGTAGTGTCAAAGTGTATAATGTTAAACTAAAATTAAGATTAAGTGGTAAATAAACAAGTGTTGCAATACTGACAGACAAAAAATACATTGACATTAAGCTACATAGCTTCATGAGAAGTTGTTTACATGTGGTTGTTACTTGTTGTGTTGCAACAGAGAAGTCAAGTAGATTACCTGGTTATTTGAATCACATGGAGTGCGTGTTTCATAGTAGTCACTGTGTGTACACAGTCTTCGTGTGAGGCAGGTGGGTGATGCTCTTGGTGAAAACTCAGTTATATTGTTGCAAGGTGTACAAGAATGTGCCTCCCATTCAGAGAAGTGATTTTCAGGACACTCAAGACATGAACGAGATCCACCTTGGCTATAAGTTCCAGCACGACAGGGTGTACATGAGGAAGCAAAGGCAACCCCTACAGAAATTAAAAATTAAAAAAAAATGTGCATTTCAATTATGTAACTCACTGTGGCACACAATTAGTATACTCATATTGATTAATTCAAAGAAAAAGAAAACCCATGTAATTTTCCTCCTAACACTGCTTTTATTATGCATGTCAAAATGTACACTGTTTTGAAAGGAGTTTATCATTCTTAATTCATAATATTTTTTTTTTGTTATAGGCAGGAAACACATTTTTTTAAACATCAGAAGGAACATATTTTTAAAAGTTCTGGATCTGATTACTAACACTCCGATAATATTATGTGTGTTCAAATCAGATATTATATTTGAAATATGTATTCTGTAAACAGTTCTAAATAAATATTGGGTTACATTACACACAACTATGATAATTAAAACCTGCTTTATTGCTCTGCTTCTTTTTCCAATAATAGAAGTGAAAAAACTGAAATAGCACTTCTTTCATATTCTCCATGTACCTCACTTTCTGTTTAAACTCATACAGATGTTACATTTCCATATGATACTTCATTATGTCCAGCACAATCTTCTGCAATTTTAGAAACAAACTTAATCACAGAAATGTGTATTTCTTCTCACTAATTTGAGCAATGAAAGAAATAAAGTGATGATTTTAAAATGCAAAGATGTTTTTCAGCACTAACTAATTTCTCAACTGCATAGTCAGTGACACATTTAATGACATGAAATCATCAGTGTAAACTGTGGTGCTTGGAGTGAGATGGAACAATATCTGAATACAGAACAGTGGGGGGAAGACATCTGGTCTATTTGAAGCTGATGTCTTGGTATTTGTCTGACATGTATGAGAATATTTCAGCACTCAAGAGAGCAAGTACCATACAATCATCTGAATATCTGTCACATAAGTTAAAAATGTTTTATTCCAAACCTGTAGAAAGTATTCTCCAGAATATACGGGATGTTTCCTCAAATAGGTACAAAATATTTTTCAAAACTTACTTTAATCTATACATCCACTCCCCCACACATTTTCATGGCATAGTTAAGCACAGACACAACTTTATATTTACCTTTCAATTTAATCTAGTTTTATACAAAACTGAAATATTTTTGAACTAGGTACATACTTTACAAAAAATAAATAATGAAATGCTCTCTGGGACACATCCTGAATGATTCTTAGTGTAAGTTCAGAACAGTAAAAAATTAAAATTTAAACACCTTTTTAAAAACCTTTTTAACACTTATTTTATATGTTCAATTCTTCTGTATTACAAAATCCACTTGTGGCTTATAATTGAAATGTCCCCAAATCAATCTATTAGTTCAATTAATTATGCCAAGGGTGCCATTTTTCTTATTTAATATACTCATACATCATTTTATATATATAATGCTTTCCTATTTTGTATTAGCAGTTTTAAAGTGGCCAAGTTTATTTAGTTTACAGGTGCATGTGCAAGATGGATTTAACCAACTTCCGACTGCAAATAAACATAAAAGTTATATGGACTCTCTTCTTCCATTTATTATAACCTGTTAAAGAACATATAGTTATGTAACTAAGTTTCTTAAATACAGTAGTGCACTGTTTATCTTAATTAACTCATAATTGACATGTCTGGATCATTAGTATCTTCGGAAATAATCTATGGTGACCAGACATTTTGTTTACAAGTGACACAGATTTTTCATTATGATGTAAAAGCAGCAGTTGCAGCTCAGATTCTTAGGATGAAAATCTCTTCCAATTTTATGAACCAATGTATGTAATTCTTTTGCCTTTGATTAGTGAAATTAAACCAGAACAATAAGAGCATTCCTTATGTCACCTGTAACAGCCTGCAAACCGGATGTAATTACATTATTCAATTTAAATGTATCAGAATTCAGTAAAAATAAGTTTAAACAAAGAGATAATCTCAGGAGAGGCAGGAAGATTAAAGTGTCACACAAAAACTGCAAAAATAAAGCTAATAGTAATTTCATTTTTGTTCTACACCACAGTTTATTATTAAAGTACATGGTATCTTTGTATAAATTATGATTTGTATTCCATTTTTAGGGCATTTATGGCAACGATACTCACTAATCAGGCTACTGAAACCTTTTACTGTTGGAGAGTAAAGCTTCATTTGTAGTTGAAATAAAATTTTTCTTTAGTATGCGCTATTAGGTGGTTCAGCGGTGGGGTGTGAGAACTATTAACTACCTGGTCTCTTTCCTTCTTGCTTTCCTACTAATACCCTACACCTATTCCTCTTCTCCCCCATTCATGCTACATGTCCCACCCATCTCATCCTGCTTGTCTTGATCATTTTAATTATACTCGGCAAAGAGTGCAAGTTATGAAGGTCCTCACTCCAAGTACTAGTGCATATATAGAGAGTATTTTCTGTCATAAATTCTCCAGGGACCAATGAAAAATGTTTCCTCCTTCAAACCATCAAAGCAGTGACAGCAACAAAAACACACTTTGAGGAAATTTTGCACAAAGAGTTCTATACTCTGATTTCAGATAATCCCAAATTACTATACTTCAAGAAATCTGTTCATCTATAAAGTATAAGACATCTGCCCAAGAGGAAATAACTACTCCAACATTAACTGAAAATTTACTTAAATTAAAATTCTGTAAGTAGTACAAAAAATGATTTCTTAAAATATTACTGGTAAAATCACTTATTGTTAATTAGACATGAATAGTAAAGGTTACCCCAGTGTAAAGCACTATCAAATTAATAGTGCTGTTTATTCAAATTAAACAGATACTGGTTATTGACGTACGAGTATTTGGACCTTGAGAAAATGAATCAAGTGAATAACTGTGTACATGTGCATATATTTGTGTGTGAAATAGGGTTCTCTCAGTAGTGGGTGTCAAGATTATATTTTCTGGGATGTGATTCTGTGTAGTTTCATAGATAGCAACCCATGTTTCAGGGAACCTACTGCCACCATTCATTAGCAAACTACATGATGTCACACCCCAGTAAACCACAATCTTGATAATCACTGACACAAGAACCTCAAGTCTCATATTAAATGTGGTTGGTAGCTCTACTATGTACAGCATATAATAATGATGAAAAGCTGTACTCACACCAGTAATACTACTCTGTCCAAAAAGTATCTGACCTTGGGCTGGGAAAAAAAAGTTCTGTATCTGGGTGGTTACAATACCTAATCCCCTTCAAAGTAGGCCCCTTGTGACTCCACACATTCAGCCCAGCGGTCCTTCCATCGCTGGAAGCAATTCTGGAAGGCTTCTTTTGGAATGGCATGCAGCTGCGCCGTCGCATTCTGTATGATGTCCTCATGGCTGTCAAAAGAGCAGCCTTTTAGCAGTGTCTTCAATCTCGGGAAGAGCCAGAAATCACAAGGAGCCAAGTCAGGAGAGTAGGGAACCTGGCAAACTTGTGGAATGCCATGCTTGGCCAGGAAACCCGGAATCAGGTGTGATGAATGAGCTGGGGCGTTGTCATGATGCAGCTGCCAGTTGAGTGCGTCCCACAGCTCTGGTCTCTTGACACAAACTGCATCACAAAGATGGCGGAGGACTTCTTGGTAGTACTCCTTACTGACCGTCTGGCCTAGTGGTGTGTACTCATGATGCACAACACCCCGGTAATCAAAAACAACAGTCAGTATCACCTTCACATTGGGCCTTGGGGATGTTGGATGCTTCCATTGTGATGCCCGGACCTTGGTTTCCAGGTCATATCCATACACCCACAACTCATCATCAGTGATCACAGTCTTCAGGAAATCAGGATCACTATTGGCACACTCCAGCATGTCCCGCGCAACCTCAAGATGAAGTTGTTGCTGCTCCGGCGAAAGCAGCTTGGGCACAAATTTTTCCGCCACTCTTCGCATGCCCAAATCCTCAGTTAAAATTATGTTTGCGGAACCTCTGCTGATCCCAATCTCATCAGCAACTTCACGGATGACCAAACGACGGTCCTCCATGATCAGTGTCCGCACTTTTTCAATGACATCAGCATTGACGGTCTCCCGGAACGCTGCTCACTGTCCGCCAACACACGGCCATGTTTAAAGCGGTTGAACCACTCTTTAATTTGAGTGACCCCCGCTGCATCATCGCCAAAAGCCTGCTGAATATTGTAGATTGTTTCTGCTTGGGTATCCCCAAGTTTCTGACAAAATTTGATGCAGTATTGCTGCTCCAAGTGTTCTGACATCTTGAGCAAAATGAGAATGCGACAAACACATGTTACACCACTTCGCTATCTGGCAGCCACAGATGAATCTAGCAGTGTTACGAGTCAGCAAAAATCACGCATGCGCATGAAAGTCCCTTCTACCACTACGCTCAGTTTCCCCACCCCTTTGGCCATTACTTACAGTGGAAAGAAGTAAAGTTGGATACTTTTTGGACATACAGTATACAAGAAATATAATTTTATATATTTTTGGAATCTCAGCCTTACTGATGAGAAAGAATGTTTATATTACGTGAGTCAACATCAAAATGATTTCAGTCAACAAAATACTAAAGAGAAGTATCACTTACCACTAATTTCAATTGACCTTATTAGAACTGGTTTCCCTTGGTGCATGTCCATTCCAATTGCTTTCCACTGAAGAACATTTTGACCAGCCTTCAAATGAACTGTCTGTTGTTTCCATTCACCTTCACGTGTTACTGAAGGCCAACGATACTCTTTTGAATCCTTAATGGATTGACATTGATCATTCTGGGCCTAAATCAAAACAGTGAACTGGTCACTTCCATCCACATACTTAAAGCATTATAACAATACACGGGCCAAGAAACTGGGGATATGGAAAGAGCACATTCAAACTGTTCCTCTTCTGAGGTCTTCACCACACAGTCTACATTTCTGGTAATTGTAATTGTAACTGTAATTTATTTTGAGTTCCAGATGATCCAATAAAAGTGGTTTCAAACCATGAGATATAGAACATGTCAAATATTAATTCAAATGTCAAGATAAGCAGAAGAACATAGTAGTACAATACAATCATAAGTACAGTTCAGGTATAAGTTGAGCCCAAGTAAATAATTAGAACATGTCAAAATTATAAAGCAATAAAATAAATGATATAAAAGACAATAAGTATTATCGTAAATACAATAAAACTATTATATTATTGACAGAAGTGTGTATCTTGCAAAATTTGAGTCCGTGTTGAAATACGGTATTATTTTTTGGGGTGGGGTGCAAAAGGACTCTGAAACTCTATTTAAACTGCAGAAAAAATGTGTAAGGGTGATAAAAGGTGTTAAAAATAGTTTCCTGTATAAATTTCTTTCATGAATTAAAGATTTTAACTGTTACTTCTTTATATATTTTTGAGATCCTATGTTTTATGATAAAAAATAAGATTTATACCACCCCGTATTCTGATGTTCATGGCTATAACACTATTCATAAACATAATTTGTTTGTACAATTTTGTAATACTGAGCGTAGCAAGCGAGGGGTGATTAGTATGGGAACCAAAATATTTAATGACCTTCCAACTGAATTAAAGAATGTTAAAAATTTTAATGTTTTTAAGAAGAAACTTAAGAATTATTTGTTGTGTAGTGTCTTCTATTCTCTTCAAGAATTTTTTAATAATTGTTGACATGGACTGTTTGTTGATAAATCTGTNATAATAATAATAATAACTCCAATGAGGTTTCTGGCACCAAAGATGGCTGACTGAAGAGTTCAGCAACTTTTCTAATTTTTTGTTTTATGTCTAGAATTCTGATATATTTAATGAATAGTTTTGGATTAGTCTTACACTGCAGAATTTATTACTGAGTTTCAGACATTTCATATACCTAAACTCAAAATCACATGGCCCTTCTATTAGTGAAACTATGGTACACTATAACATGCTACTTCCAAATTTCATCAAAGGATGGACTTCACAGCAAAAACGTTTCTGTAATTTTACATTATCATTGAAATGAAAAAATGAAACAAGTTTCTTTGATGAAATTAATAAATTCTATTTTTTTTTCTTTGATGAAATTAATAAATTCTATTTTTTTTTAATAACCATTAACATGACTTCAGTGGTGACTAACTGTGGACCCAGGGAATGTAATGCAATGTAATGGAAGGTAATGTAACTTAATGATTTTATTGAAAACCACTATGTTTTGACCTCACAGGTCATTATTAGTCGGTACACTAAATAGAATATTTATTATTGCATTAGACTATTATCTTTTATAATTATGAATCCAGTTTTCAATAAATTTACACTGTATTGCATATGCTAAAATTTTATTATATGTGGTGTAAATATTTCCTCAATAACATACAATATGATAACAATTTAAATGTATACACTGGTTGCTAATATAAAGCTTCATAACTTGTACTCTTCTCCAAGTATAATTAGAATGATCAAGTTAAGGAGGTTGAGATGGGCAGGACATGTAGCACGAATAGGTGGGGGGGAGGGGAGGAGGAGGAGAAGAATGTATATAGGACAATGACGGGAAAGCCAGAACTAAAGAGAACACTCTGAAGTCCAAGATGTAGCTGGGTGGACAATATTAAAATGAATATTAGAGAGATAGGATGGTATCGTATGGATCAGATTGATCTGGCTCAGGATAAGGATCAGTGGAGGGCTCTTGTGAACATGGTAATGAACCTTTGGGTTCAATAAAATGCTGTTAATTTTCTTGAGTAGTTGTACAATTGGCGGCTTCTCAAGAAGGGTTCAGTTCCATGAGTGAGGGTTGCTAATAGAGGTAGTCCCTGTGCTCAACTAATTAAGCACAGCCAGTATAAAATAAAATTCAATACACCTTGAGGATACGCTTAGTGTGAGCTGTAATTGTTTCTTATTTGACTTAAACATTAAAATAGAATGTTTTTTAGTCTGAATGATCATATGGTTAAAATTTTGTGAATAACCATTCATATATAGAATAAAATAACTGAGTTGTATATGTACAAACTTATGTTGAATTGTTAAATTAACAGTGTGATATTTGAGGGATCCACTGAGATGAAAGACTTATCATCATATGGGGTTAAATCAGAAAATTTATATAACATTTACTCATAACATGTTTAACCCCAGATGACAATACTATAGTTGGATGGACACCTCATGAGATCACATTGTTACTTCAACAATTCAACATAATATTATTAGTTATTCAGCTCACTTATTTTGTCCTGTTCAGTAATTTTAAAAATATAACTACTCTGCCAGAAACATATTCTATATTCAGGGTTAACTAAAAGAGAAAAAATTAAGAGTTTACACTCACACACATATATTCAAAATATATGTGTATTATCAAACAGTGTTATTCAAACCTTTATCATATGGTTTTATTCAGGAAATACATATACCACATAGCATAGAACTTTAGCATATATGATACGATATAAACCTATTTGAAAACTTGACCCATATTACAGAAAGATAGTTAAAAAAGATAACATGATAATTCAACAATGAAGTTCTCAGTTAGTGTACCTGTGAGACCGGAACATGTAGTTGTTTTCAACAGATATATGTAGCTACTACTGGGATTGTGTTATTAAAATAATTTTAATATTTATTATTATTATTATTATTACATTACTGTTGTGATATAAGTGTATTATATATATTATATATATATCATTATCATATTTGTAGGTTGTTGAATAAACCAATTAACAATTTCTACGGCGTCTTCAGTAACAAGACACGTTACAATATTAAGAAATTAGATTTTATATGACTATATTAAGAGTCTTGGTGGTCTCTTGATCATGTATGTAATTTTATGTTACTATGATATATGGAATGTATTGTTGTACAGTAGTCTTGTTGTATTGAGTATTTAAAATTTTGACGATGATGACTATCTGATTATGTATGTATATTCATATCTTATATTGTATTGCTGACTTGTTCTATATCTGAGGCAGATGCCTCTATGGATTTTGTAGAACTGTAAATAAATGAATTAATTAATTAATTAATTTTCTAATTACTAAACACAACAATATGCAGAGCTTTCAGAAATTTCTCTGAGCCATGGACAGAATGCAAAAAAATATATATCCATATATCAATAAGAGTTACCTCAAAGTCAAAAATAATGTCTCTGTCAGAAAACTGGTACAAATAAGACAAATTTCCAGGTTTAACGAGGTGCACTGTGTATGTAAGTGTAGCAGCACATGGACCTCCTGTGAATGCTAAGAAGTCACCTCTTGGCTGCCAACCATAACTGCAAAAGAATTCTTGCAATAATACACGTATATAAGTCTATCATGAGAAACCAGATTTTTATGCCTTAGTAATCCCTTAAATATGTATGCATTTATGCATGAAAAACTTCCAAAATATGCACTTAAAATGTTCGTACCGAATATTAAAATTGATTTTTACATTATTTTAAGACAAACAAATCAACATTTTTAATTAATTTCATGTAATCACTGAATGATTCACTTGCAATGAAAAGCTATATTTAAATACAAATCATGCAGCAAAGCCAACATTTCTTCATTACAAGTTAAAAAAACAAATGGTACTCACATTTAGATCTCTAAGCTTTCAACTTCTGTTCTGTTGCAGTTCACACTTAACTTAATATTTTAGGTTTTCCACAGTTAGTCGCCTCCTATTGTCTTGTAAGATGTCCTTATTGGGAGAAAAACTTCTTTCCACCTCATAGGAACTGAAGGGTGCATGTACAAAATCTATTTGCTCCACTGTTAGTGATTTCTTTACGTGGCAGTTCAATACTTTTACCAGCTAAAATTTCTTCAAATTTCACAAATTTGTTCATATTGTGCTTTTTTTTTTAAAGAATGCTCTGTGCTTCTTCCTTTACTAACACCTCCAAGAACGAATTCAATTTGGAAACAGTAATTATGAATACACTTAACAATTGATACAAAGTAGTATTGCTATTGCTTGCCTCAGTGAAGAAATTGTGGAAAGGAGGTGAGAGAAGTGAGCAGATACATGGGAAAGATTAGTTTCTAGTTCTGCGTTTTTTAGTACATCTTGGGCAATTTAAACTGATGCTGCACTTCTGAGATCAAATGTATTCATGACAGTTCATATTTATGTTTATAAATAGCCAAGCCACTGTGGCAGTGAAATCCTACTTTTTCAGTAATATCAGCCAAATACAAAAGGTTTTGAGAGCAGTTATTTGGTTATGTTGGAATCCATATTGATTACTGATAATTTCATCCAACATATTAACATTGCCAGAAGAAATGTGATTCAGATTTTGAACGATATTTCCAACAGCGAGTGTCTGATTCCTCTGAAATTAGTACATCTATTTTTCTCCATTATTTTAGAGACAAGTAAAATATGTAATAAGTTTTTCTTTCAGTATTGTAACATTTGTTTTATTGTAAACAGAATATATGAGTTGATGAATGTCAGAATTTGATATCTTGTCTCAACTTCTCATTCCTCTTTCTAACCCACTTCCCTTATTTTTAAAAAATAGGAGACTTGTGAGATTTCCTTGCTGTCTGTCTGTCTGTGTATTCCTCTTATTTCTGTTAGAAGCCTTATGAAATCACCTTGCTGTCTGTCTGTCCCCCCCCCCCAGTTTGTTGTTTTTTTTCTATGTGGCCTGCATTGTTTAAAAGCAAAGTAGGCAATCAATTCCACACAGAACTTCTATTGTATATAATGAAATCATCTTGCTGTTTGTAGGTCCCACCCTCTTTTTTTTTTTTTTAGGCTTGAGTGATTTATTAGATAGCCTTCCTGTGTATGCGTATCCCCTTTCATTGCTAGACAAAGGGTCATATGTGCCCCTTCTCCCAATATGAGAGTAAGTCATTAAGTAAGTTAGAAATGGATATAGAACTCAAACAAATAAGAGTACTGATTTGAAAAATGCTTTTATTTCTCAGCATAATCTCCCTGTAAATCGAGGCACTTGTCCCATCGTTTCACAAGCCCCTGAAAACCCGCAGCATAAAATTCTTTGAGATGGTTTCAGAACCAGGCGGTGACGTCCCTTTCTACAGCTTCATCATCGGGAAAATATTCAGCCAAATGATGATATTTAAGAGGGACGAACAAATGGAAGTCTCTTGGAGCCAGGTTGGGGCTATATGGAGGATGCTTGAGGACTTCCCACTTGAAATTTCTCAGCGTCTCATTGGTCTTGTTGGCAGTATAGGGATGCGTGTTGTCATGCAAGAGCAACACGCCTTTGGTGAGGAGTCCTGGTCGCTTCTGTTGAATGGCCTTACAAAGTTTCCCGAGGACGTTACAGTAGGAGTTGGCATTTACATAAATGCCAACTCCTACTATAACATCCTCAGGATATAAATGTTCCCTGTAAAGGGAAGTCACCGTCTGGTTCCGACAGCAGCCCAAAGTATTTTATGCTGCTGGTTTGCGGGGGCTTATGAAGAGATGGGACAAGTGCCTCAATGTACAGGGAGATTATGTTGAGAACTAAAAGCATTTTTCAAATCAGTACTCTTACTTGTTTAAGTTCTGTATCCATTTGTAACTTACTTATTGACTTACCTATGTATTTTCATTTTTGTGCCATAGGTGATTAGTTCTTCCCAGAAGTAGATTCAGAGTAGCATGAATCCCTTTTTAACACCACATGCCAACTTATTGAATACAGCAATTAAGCAATGATAACATACATAATATCTTACTTGCTACAGTTGACTTCATTGTCATATCTAGAAAATGAACTGAAGGAGGAATGGAAAGATTCAACTTGTGTATAAAATCCTTCTGGTAATTCATCCCATGTGTCAAACAGAACTCCTCCACCCAAAGAAAATGTTCCTGGACGACACATTCGACACATCAGATCTCCTAAGTCGAAATAATACCCAGCATCGCATGATATTTCTGTGCAAAAGAAAAGAGAATGACATCATTTTACTATACTCACAAATACGCGTACATTTGAATTATTTTCATTGCTATAAATGAGTCATACATTTGGGCACGGTTCTTCTTTCTCTTTTCCCCTCTTAAGCAATATGCTACATTTATCAAGAAATGTGAGTATAACCATCATCAGACCTATAGGATTTGAGAATTTAATGCTGGTGAGAGAAATATTCTGCATCCATCATCAGCACTACATGGTATAATAAACCTATGAGATCTCAATGTAAATGGTTGCAGATGCGCTTTGTCAGTTATGGGGCTTGTGTGGTGGTGTCTGTACTCTAATGTGGATGGCCTGATTAAGGTTCGGCAATGGTACTATTGGCTGTGAGCTGGACAGTCTTCCTTGTGTTGGCTGAAATTGTTGCTGCTAAGAGACTCGCTGTTGATATCTGAGCTCCAGGTAACCTGTCTCGACATAAGTGTAGCTGTGACTGACTAGCATGTCAGACGTCTGCAGCTTTATACACTGTCACTAGCAGCACTTGACCTGATGGGTGTTGGAACTCCTGTGGTCTGCACTGATTGGCTAGCACTTGCTTCAGTGTCAGAGGCTCTCTCAGTACCATTGCAGTGCTTTCATACATGGACTGAGGAAGACTGTCCATGCCAAATTAGCCAGTACCCTGGTCAAGATTCCACAGTACCACTGAACCAACATTTTCAGTTGAACCTAAGGTACATCAGGCTGTATAAAAAGGTATATAACTGTTTTAAGCTGCTACATAAAATAAAGGGGCACACGGTAGCATAGTTGGTTGAGGCACTATGCTACAAGCTGGAAGGTTGCGGGTTCAGGTCCCGATGAGGTCATTGGATTTTTAAATTGACCTAATCCAGCTTTACTATGGCCCTGGGGTCGACTCAGCCTTTCACAGAAATGAGTTCCAGGAATATTCTCGAAATATTCTTGGGGGGTAAAGGGCAGTCAGCGCATAAGGCTGACAACCTTGCCGTCATCTGTGAGCCGATTGTCTAGAAAATGTGGGAACCTCAACATCTCACAACCCTATGGACCTCCACGGCCTGTTACAGGGATACCTTTACTTTTTACAAAGAAGATATTCACAGTTTGCTGTTTCAGTGTGATGTATGTCTGAATGATGGGAGTGAATTTATATTCACCAGTCTATCTCAGACTCCAAAATGTTGCCGTTGAACACACAAAGACTTAAATTCAATTTATATTTTGCCATAATCAGTATTTCAATAGTGGCAGTTTGGAGTCCACAAGATGTTACTTTTTATGTGCCTAAAATATTAATTAATAGAGTCATACATTAGCTAACATGTTGTTACATGAAATATATTCAGAACAGTAATTTTTTTACACCTTTATTATACATAATCTGCAATAAATGTGTGTGTTCAGTAAGTACTGGCTCATGAATCAGTTATGCCCAGTGGCGTAAATCATATACTTTTTCGTTCACTTAGGGATAATTTTAATTTTTTGTATTTGGGTTTTACTCCAGTCTGTCTGGTAGAGTTAGTACAGTGTGTCTTTTCAGTCTGTGTAGTTTCGCTATTGTCTGGAATGCCCGTTTTCTTCTTGAATTTAGAAAAGTTTGAAAACGTAATAAAATTTATTCATTTTACACTCATTTGAGAAAGTGGTACCAGTTCAGTATCTCCTCTATTGCAATTTATCGTGAGAGAAATGTGATGTGATCTTTGCGATGCTATTCTACCAGCCTACCTGCCATTAATTAATATATACAGTGCGTACAATCAAGTGCGCGCCGCGGCTGCAATTTGCCGTGAGAACGGATGCAGTCGCGGGGAGGAGTTGNATCAGGGAACTTTTAAAGAAAATTTACTTAGAAAATAGTTGTATCATTACCATAGAAAAATATTAAAATAATAATTTGTTGGGAAAATTTTAATTACCTTAAAACGAGAAATGCTAAAAGTTACTGGACAAGCTCGACTTGTTAGAAAAGCAAAAGCTGGCTTAAGAAAAAACTTCTTATTGCTGCTACCCAATTTGAGGCTACTGAGCCTGACAGTCTGTTGGTAGTGCACACTATATATAGTTTTTCCTGTATAAACAGATAACTGTCACAAGGGGTAATGAAATAGCTTTTAAACTGTTACAGAAATTTGCACTGTGTAAGAACTGACCACACCTCACTCAACATTTTGGTTCTACTAATTTCTGTTCTATTAAGATATTAACTTTGTATTTGTAATCATAAAGCTTTTAAAATCATGTTCTAAAGTAAAATTGCAGGAATCTGGGATATGATTATATGTACCTTGGTACTGTGACACATCAGAGTAACCTGCTACTTCCATCATTAGGTTAGAAGAGTGAATTTCTTCTAACCTGAGTATGGTGACATCAGGTTATTCGAAGACTTTGGTACCTATTTACCAAATTACCATGACAGTATATCCTAGAAGACGATAATCTGAAGTCCATGATTTATTTCAACCGTCTTCCAGTGCATACACTCATCTATCTCACTCCTCTCTCGCACTACATGTTTCGGCACAAAAGTGCCATCTTCAGGTGCTTATTCGATTTACGATAAACTAATTCACTGCATGCCTTGCCGTCTTCATATTAAAATAACTAAAATATATATTTATCACATATATTGATAAATATTAAATATTAAAAATATTAAAATTGTTCAGGATTTTCCTGTGACTGCGTGTGTTATACTACTCAGCACAGGAGCAAGACACAACTACAGCGCACAATACACATACGAAAGTAGAAAGAGTGCTCCGACAGAAGTGGATAGGTGTGACCGGTGTGACTCGCGTAGTGAGATACGACGTAGGAATGAAAAATCCTGAACAATTTAAATATTTTTAATATTTAATATTTATCAATATATATGATAAATATATATTTTAGTTATTTTAATATGAAGACGGCAAGGCATGCAGTGAATTAGTTTATCGTAAATCGAATAAGCACCTGAAGATGGCACTTTTGTGCCGAAACATGTAGTGCGAGAGAGGAGTGAGATAGATGAGTGTATGCACTGGAAGACGGTTGAAATAAATCATGGACTTCAGATTATCGTCTTCTAGGATATACTGTCATGGTAATTTGGTAAATAGGTACCAAAGTCTTCGAATAACCTGATGTCACCATACTCAGGTTAGAAGAAATTCACTCTTCTAACCTAATGATGGAAGTAGCAGGTTACTCTGATGTGTCACAGTACCAAGGTACATATAATCATATCCCAGATTCCTGCAATTTTACTTTAGAACATGATTTTAAAAGCTTTATGATTACAAATACAAAGTTAATATCTTAATAGAACAGAAATTAGTAGAACCAAAATGTTGAGTGAGGT